GCATAGCTCCTAGGATCATTGGGACACTCAAACCCCTCCACCACGATAAGGTAGCAGCCCAAGGAGAGGAGGTCTTATCACATCTGCCCCTTATTTTAAAAGTAAATTTTAACATTAGTGTAACACTTTTCAGACCCCAGCCTGAACAATTTGCAAAATTTGTAAATTAAAAACAAAAGACAATTTCAAATCCTTCACACCTTATTTGAACAAGAGTTTATGTCAATATATTCTATAAAATACATTATTTTAATCGCTTTTATCACCTTCTAAAACAGTATGGTTCTGGAAGTTTTAATTTCGAAGTACAGTGTTTTTTCAAACATGAAAAAGAGATTATTTTAAAGCTCTCTATTCCCTTAAGATTAAAATTACTCTGTTTAATAATCTATTTTTACAAATTTTAATTGGATGTTTACAGGTAAAATTTTTCTTGTGAGCCTTTTACATCATTTGCACGATATATAATCAACCAAATCATTAACTTTCAATCATTTCAGATGATGAAATAATATAGATTCATTCACAATACAGACTCTCAGCATGACAACTTGTGATATTGACCATTACATTTTATTTTTTGTCTTTTATTTCTTTCAGATTTGACTTAAAAGGTTAAAATTCCATCATTTCTCAGCTTATGATGATAGTGTAAAACCCTAGCATGATGGTAGATGATGTGTATTTCTTTAAGGAGCTCTTGGCTTTTATTTTATTAACTGACATGTGGCAACGTGACTTAAATGTACCATTTAAACTAAAGTACTTGATCATCAAACTTTTTTTACTTCAGTTTGTTTCCCAAACCCAATATAATTTCTGTTTTGTATCCTATTGTTGTTGTTTTTTTATTTTGATTCATTTTTAATGGATATCTTAATAAAATTAGATACTTGCACAGACCTGCACTCTGAGTGTTCCCTGTTGCACCTCCTTTGTTGCAGGTACAGGGCCGTGGCCTCATGGAGCAGAGTGCAGGGAGTGGGCATCCCTCTCCTCACCCTCATTGAGATCATAATCATTTGGGTGCTGTCGTGCATCCTGGCTGTACCCGAGGCTGTTAGTTTTGACATGGTCACCTTCAACTACACCAACATCACCCATCGCACGTGCATGCTCAACCCAAAGACCAGATTCATGAAGGTAATCTGTCATTTAAAATATTTAATCTTACGTCATCTGGAAAAGCCAAACAGTTGTGATGTCACAAATTATTATGTTCATACCGAGAGTTTTTACTTTGAGTTAGTGACTAAAAATAGACCCTGTGAGCTGATTTTTACACAGTACTTTATTTCTTTTTTGCCTTAATGCAGGTCCATAAAAAACAATAATGCTTTCACCAACTATTTAAAGGTACAGAGTGCCGCAAAGAGCTTTTAGGTCTTAGTGTTTAGTTTTCAGTGTTTAGGACAGTGGGGCCTCTTTTGAGTAAAACCTGGAAAAAAAAATGCATTCTCACTTCTTCTCAGCCTTTTGCTCTCATCGCAAGATGTTCCAAACTTGGCTGTGGCCTTTGTGACATATTTGCATGTTCTCTCTGTACGTGTGTGGCTTTTATTCCCGTAGACTAAAAACATGCAGGTTGGTAATTATAAATCATAAGAGTGAGAGCATGGATAGTTGTCTGTCCGACGTGTCTGTTATGTCTGTCTATGTTTGACTCTATGATGGAGTGGGGAGCTATCCGGTGTGTATCCCACCCTGCCTCCAATGACCACTAGAAATATAGGCTTCAGCTCCCCGTGACCCTGCATGGAAAAGTGGGTAAAAATGGACTGATGTTTGAGCTTATATACGCATGAAAGAACAAGCTCTAAATTCAGATCCATCCACTATACCCACTTCATCCATTCCAGGTGCTGGGGGTCACTGGTGCCCATGTCCAGCAGTCACTATGCGAGGGGCAGGGGACACTCTGGACAGGTTGCTATCACAGGACCACATAGAGACAAATGAGACAAACAACTATTCGCTCACACCTAGGGACAATTTAGAGTTGCAAATTAGTCAACCATTTATGTTTTTGGTCTGTGGGAGGAAACCGGAGTACTCAGAGAAAACCCACACATGCGCAGAGAAAACATGCTAACTCCCCCCGGAAAGGTCCTCGGCCAGGATTTGATTTGTGAGATAGTTCCTTTTCATTTGTTTATTTTTCACAAGATAAAACTTTCTTTACAAAATGCTGTCATCGCTCAACATTTGTAATACTTACTGATAACAAAACTGTCCCAGTCACATTTTTTTCTGTTCTTCTTTTATTCATAAAAAAGTAGCAATACATTTATTTATCAGCAAAGGCTCCCCCCAAAAAACTAGAGTATCTCCACATCTATGTTTACAGTAACAAAGACTGTAGCCAACTCTCTCTCTCTCTCTCTCTCTCTCTCTCTCTCTCTCTCTCTCTCTCTCTC